ATTTTTTTTTTTTTTTTTTTTTTTTTTTTTTTTTTTTTTTTTTGTTACGAAATATCGAATACATTTGTGGGTGACTTTTCTGATAGCACATTTAAGAATGAGGAGAACTACGGCACATTGGCTGGAGCTAATTGGACAAAAGTGTAAACGATTGTATAAATATAAATTTTTTCGAATTACAAATCAGAGAGCTCTTATTGAGGGGATCCGAGTGGGAGATGCCTATAACACGCGTATGTTACTTTTGAGTGGCTCTCCACAATTTTAGAAAAAAAAATTTTTGAATAACGTCAACAGATATAATGCTATGTCCGATCTGGGCGAAGACTTTGTATGCATATGGAGAATAGATGATTTTAGATAAAATAGTTTTCGAGTTATGGGAAAAAAACAAAATCTCTATATAGGAATAGTCAGACGGACTGATAAAGCTATGGGGCACATCGTAGTGCCCAAATATTCTTTTGGATATTGGTCAGGATGTTAAAAGATGGCTATTTAAGTTTAAAATGCATTCGTATTCTTTTTTGTTTTTTGTATTTTTAATTATTTAGTGTGTTGTTTATGTTTACTTAGTAAAAGCTGACAACAAATTTGAATTTTACTTATTTGATAGGTACACTCAAAAATATGTATGTTATATTAGTGTTAGCTGTTGTTGTCTTTCTTTTGGCGCCCTTTTTAACCATTATACGATATTGCTATTTATTGATTTGTCTCATTCTGGGAGGTGTGTCGACGCTCTATAAGTGGTGTTACGAGCGCCTCTCCTAACTATTGCATAAGTGAATGAGTGGAGGAAACTTCGATGCCATAGAGTGAGTGTTTTCTTAAACTGTTTTTGCTGTCGTTTTGTTGCATAGTATCTCCGCTGTTATATGTGTGTATATATTAAATATATCGTAGTCCTTATAATGTAACCCTTATACAGTTAGCCCACTCTATTACGAACCAAACACCCCCAGCGTTTTGCATAATGTCTAGATATATAATTTAGTTCATATATGGTTTGCTCAAATACTTTCTTTTTAGCTAACTAGCAATTAGTTACAATTTCGATTTCGTGTGGAATCAATTCGCATAACATTCGCTATATACATGGTTTTTACGTTTCTCGTTTTCATTATATCGCTTAACGGGAGAGGGGGCCTTACAAAATTTTGACTAGTTATTTATGCAAGTGCCTGGAAGAGGCCTTCGAATTGTTAATTAGAGAAATCGCTTGGACTTTTGTTTTAGGTCATAAATGTTTTTGTTTTTCTTTTTTTTTTTTATCTTTTTTTCTCTTTAAGTCTATGTAATCGAAGGAAATGCTAATTTCTGAAATCCTTTGGATGCACTCAATATTTAGGTTTATCTCCAATGTCTGTCCGTCTGCCAGTTCTTTTACAGTTGTGTTTGTTTATTCTAGACCTATATCACCGCTTAATTGCCTTAAACACTCTAATTATTATAAGCATTTCTTGCTGATTCATTGTTGTCTCGTCCTTTGTGTATGTGTTTGTTTTCATTTTGKATTGATTGATTATGAACATATGAGTGCCAGCTACTTAATAAAGTTCAAAGTTTATAAAACTTTACAATTTCTTATGCCTTCAGCTATAATTATGAATCATACAATATATATATTAGTCTATATGTATGTATTATGTGCTTAGTTTTGCAAGGTATTAATTATGTATGTATGAAACCAATGTGATCCTATGCAAAATTGTATTAAACATACATATATGGATATATATATATATCCATATATATATGTATATATATGGATTTAGCTTAGGTATGTTTATTGTGAAATATTTTGCACTGTACAACAAAATATGTTTTCTTTTCATTTTTTCTTTCATTTTTTTTTTCTTTTCTTATTTTGTACAATTTGAAAACTAATTTATACTTTCACATACATATGCGTAGTTGCTAGCAAATTGCGTTTACTTTCTTGTTCACTTAGCTTCACACTTTAGGTGTATGTGTGTATATATTGTGTACTTTAGTCATAGGAAACGTTTTTATTTTTCGAAATGATATAGAAAAATAAATGCAGAGAACACTATTTAGCATACATAATTTTAAGCTTTTAGCTTCTTTTCGTATATGTAGTCATTTTTGCATTAAAGTTAATTTGCTTTTTCAAATAAATAGCAATTGTTTTTTGCATGTGTTTTTATATTTATTTAGATTTTAGCATTCAGGCGCGTTTTACTAGGCCTAAACAGCGCATGCTCTAAGGCTTTCTTGCAAACCATTTAATAGTAATTTTGGTATAT